CAACTTTATTGGGCAAGGTTTTCAGTTCGTCTGGCGAGATGACTCAGTTGTTAGAGCGTGAATTTACCGACCGATAGATCCGTGGTTCGAACCCGACCTCTGCATCTCGATTTCTTCTGTCTAGACTTGGACGACCTGGTAGTATCCCAGCCCTCGTGCTTCCTTATGGTAGCATGGCAGTTAGGCCCCGAAAGGGTGCTACAGCTGTGTTATATGGTGAATGAGAAGCGATGGACTCTAGGAAATTCGTGAAAGTACAAAACCAGTGTTCCCGGATATCTGCCGAGTCTGGAGTATTGGGATCAGTATCGAACCGTCCAGGACGTAAAAACCGGTCCCTCTTTCGATGAAAATATTTTGATGAATAAATTGTTGCGTCCGGCTAGTGACGGAGTGCGGCGACAATCAGAATAAGAACAGAAAAGACAGAGCCCAAAAGATGGGCTTTGACACTGCGAGCTGAAACAAGAAGTGATTTGGCATTAAGCAATGAAGCGTTTTGAAAAACATTAAAAACACAACAATCGTGTGGGTTAGCGTCGGCGAATCCGTAACGAGGCAGCTAGAAAGCGAGTTTTCGGTTGTGTGTTGGGAGTTTTCATAGGAGGATGTATCCAGCACCAGAAGCTCCGTCGGTTGGGACATGTGTTGCGTATGCCTAACCATCGTTTTCCGAAGATAGTGCTGTCTTCTACTCCCAACTCGGAGTGGCCGAAGCAGAGACGTGGCCAACCCTTGACATGACAGAAGGGTATAAAGGAGATTATGAAACGTTTGAGTACTGTCGGTGCTACTCGCCTTCCAGGATGGGGACCGCGTGGTCCTCACTGTGCCTGAGCTAGCACTAAGTCCCTTCCTCTTTAACGCTTATTCTTTTCTTCACAATATGACTCTCAGGTAAGTCATGGTTGTACGGCAGCGAATCATCATTGTTGAACACTGATTTCATGCTGTCGATGGTGGTGATGATGATGCGATCAGCATATCTTATTGCGGTCAGAAGGGCCATACCAGAAACTGGCGACTATGATAGCGCACGCAGATCCCTCAAACGCCGGATAATCACGAGTTTGAGGGATGACAGAATACTCGTAGTTTGCGAATGCACAGGAGATGGAGAAAGCTTTCACTGCGGGCAACAGCCGCACCCTATTTCAGCTGATTCGATTAGGAAAACAAGTGTCAGCAAAACGGTATGCAAAAAAGACGGAACGGCAATTCATTCCAAAAATCGTCTTTTTGAGTGATAAGCTGAACACTCCGAAGAACAGCTCAGCTGGTCTCCTTCAACACGACCACCGGAAGCTGGTGCAAAGTGCATACCAATGGATGGGGCGACTCTTGTCAGTTCATCTAAAAACGCCTGCGCCTTATCTCCTCTTCGAAGATGAGGACGATCTCGTCTTCAGATTCCAGATGGAGATTTTCGTCACAGGCCATTTGGACAAAGTGGGCATCCGTGACGGACGCCACTTTCTGTACGGAAGCTTTTGGAGAACTCGCCGTATACTCCCACACGTCCGGAAGTTTGGGAATACCAAGAACTCATAATGTTCACTAATTTTCGGGATATTCCTTGGTGGGCAAGCGTACCAAGAAGAACAGACCGGTCAACCGAGTTAAGTACGCCTTGGAAATCCAGGAACACTAGAACTGTGGGTCGCTTTTACGTATGGTGCTTTTCTAGCACCTGACGGAGTGTGAGAATTTCGTCAGCACAACCCCTACCAGGCCTGAACCCTTCTTACTGCTCCCGAATCAGTGGTTTACGAGCCACCGTAAGGCGACAAAGCACCAGTGACGCTAACAGTCTCGTTACGATCAGGGTCAAGCTGATCCCTTGTGGTTGCCACGCTCACTACGAGTCCATTTTTTGAAAATGGGCACTATCACCGACTCTCCCCATTTGTCCGTGACAGACTCCTTTTCCCAAATGCAAACAAAGAGATCAGACAAGTGCTTGACTGACTCTCATACGGTGGGACCTACGGATACCGTCATAGTAGCCGTTGCCGTCTAACCGGAAGTTCATGCTACGCTGTTGGGGACCATAAATCGGCTGCCTTTGACTTTGTTCTGGATGCCACCAAAAAAACGACAGCTATCAGTTACCACCGAACCACCTGGTCAAGAACCAATTTTTCAGGATGACTTGGTAACCATTTCAATAGCCAAGTTCGTTGTTTATTTGTAACTAACTGCCATCCCTGCTTCAGTGCATTAGTGTCGGAAAAAAGACTCACCAAAGAGAAGCAAAATAACTTTACTGCCAGAAGATAGGTGCAGAAGTTAAAAGGGGGTATCGCGGTATTTAAAGCGCACTTTTGACCTTTACTCCAGGTTGTCCTGTGGTCGATTTTGGCGGTGCTTTGGAGTCTCAGTAGGTCTCACGCATTCTGGGATTATTTTCAGAAACCTGACACCAGTTTTTCTGAGAGCCTTTTTTGTTAAGCGGATCGTCGTTCCCACCAATACTTGCCATCGAGTCTTCGTTCAGTTTCAGAATGAAAATCGTCCAGGTATATATGATCGAATGGGGCATGTATGTGGGAGCTGCTCCAGGTCGCAGCAGCTCAGGAGTTACCCAACGGACAATCACTGCAGTCTTGGTCATTAGCAGAAATACCATGACAGCGTATCCGTGTGGATTTCACCAGACGAGTTAACGGGCAAACCCTAATAATCGCTGGTGATGCTTTCAGGAAGTAGCCCGATGTTTTTGCCGTCTGTCAGATCACAACAATGGCTGTAATCACGAAACCTCGACATCAGATTTCAACATTTGGCCTCCCGAAAACCACCATGTACGACAGCGGCTTCTAGTCCACATTCCACCAGTCTGGTGATTTCGTCCAAAGGAATTCGTCCACACACATTACTTTCACCCCCAGTCTAAAAGCCAGAATGATGCGTTTGTGCACACCTTCAAGTGCGCCTTGAGAAGAGCGAATAGGGAAAGGACCATGGCAGAAATCCTGGGCGCTTCCTTGTTGAACCATAGAGTAACTCCCAATCCACACTCTGGGGGCGGTCGCTCATTAGCAGATGTTACGATTAACAGGCTGTTGGGACTTACGTACGACGCTGGCCTGCCAACATTTACTCTTCATCATCAGCTGTAAAACGGCGTACTTGCCGTAAATTGGTTCTAGCTACAACAGTTTTGTTCACTGGTAGTTCTGGGAGGTGGGATAGATAGATGTGGGTTGGAGGAGGTAGCTGATGTAATGTAGGGATAAATACAGGGTTGTCAGTGAATTAAATTCAAGAGAAAGCGGGAAGCTATGCGTTAAAGGCAAAAAATTAGATGCACAAACGCCATTAAGGTTGCGACCCGGCCATATCTGACAAAGGCTCCAACCATTTATATAATTCCTCATCCAGGGAGACTAACGCACCTCAGTTTGCTAGTAATGGCTTCCATACTTTGTTGCCGAAATTGTGTTTGACCTCTGCTGGATCGTTTCCACCCTTCGCATGGTTAGGCAAATTGTCTTTCCCGAAAATCATTACATGTACTTCAATGTTACTGATGTGGTGTTCGAGCAATGCTCAGAAGACATCGATGGTCACACGGGGAGAGTCTTTTGACTTCCCAAGCGCGCAGCGGCCAGGTGTCTATGGAGCGCACCGCAGCATTGTAAACTCTACAAGCTCTTCCACCAAGCTCATAACTATCGGATCATTCATTCCTGTTTACTTATGCACGTTTTACCCAGCCCTCCATACCAACAAATCTGGCATCACCCTTCCGCTCAATGGGATTGTATGCATCGGTTCGTTGCTCATCCCTGGGAGGTTCGTGTTCCGAATGATGCTTTTTATTCCGACAACATCACCAGCGGTCTTTATGTCAGCGACCTGCAACTTATTCTCCAGTTTTTATGCTTGCTTAATTTTGCTTCTCTGCACACTTTCTATGAGCCAGAAAAATAGGTTGTGCTTTACTGCTCTACTGCTGTACTAAAACGTCAACGCTAACGGTGCACACGGCCTCTCTGCGTGGTTTACGTAAACACAGGCGAGTGCACCTTTCTCACAACACACGTTCCGGAATGCGCCCGTTCGTATCTCCGGCATTGCCGTTACCCGCAATGTCAGTGATGTGGTTGTTAGTCGCAAAGCTGCTAGTCTTCAGCAATCTGCGGGCCGTAACTTCTGCTCACTTACGTTTCCTACTGTTCTTTGTTCACAGTAGTATATGGAATCTTCACCGTAGTAGAGCAAATGCTCACCGTTCTGCCTCCAGTCTGACCATATTTCTATCTATTCAACTTCATCTACCGATCCCAACCACACTATCACTCTAGGGAGGCCAAGAATATTTCGGTGAAAGGCCTAAACACAATCAGTATTGCTTCTTGCATGGTTCATAGCTGATTGGTTAGCCGGTTGGTTTGAAATCTCAGACTGCCACCTTTGTTACATCGCGATAGTTTCAGGATAATATCTCAAGGCTTCCCGTACGCCCGTTTAGAGTTTCTAAAAGCATTATTTCCGACCCTTCCCTTGTTATGTAATTTCCTCTACATTTTACAGTCCCCTCGCATTATCAGTCCTCAGGCATGTATCGTTTGGTGTTGTAACTTACTGTCAACTCAGCCCCGGTGACGGAAAGAGACTCACGCATCAAGAACAGACAAGTGTAAATGTACAAGAAACGTTACAGTTCTCACGACCTTGAATCCAGTCTGGATGATTAATTGACACTGCATCTGTTGCGCGCTCGAACATTCAAGCATCGTAAGTAATCGCATGTGGACTGCTGAACATCCAACTGGCATTTGACTTGTTTAGTCCGAAGACTCAGCTGCCTTCCTGAGGTACTTTTTTGGTGGGCTTGACACTTCCTGGGTGCTTCGGACATTCTTGAGTTACATTCAGGAGTCTGACCTTCCCAACAACCAGTCATCGTTAGATCCAAGGAGGACTATTTTTGCTAATCGATATGCACTATCTCTCTTATTTTTTTGCAGCTTGTTAATCTACTCTGCTGAATAATGCCTGAGAAGGGTGAAAACTTGTCAGACCGAAAAAAACGTCATCACAAGTCCCGAGAACGTGCGAGGTCACCTTTCGAAGATGAAGACGCTCCACGACGCAAAGTAAAAAGACATCGAAACCGTGAAGAAATCACTGGTTAGTTTTTGTTGATTTAATTGACTCGGGACAATCATTTTAGATGAGTCCTCATTTCCTTCCAGTAACGGAGCTGGGGGTGATGTATCACTATCCGTAGAAGAAACAAAGTGAGACATTTTTTGTACTATTCATACTGATCTGTCCAGTGCTCTGCGGGCCAAACTAGGTCTGGCTCCCTTGGAGCTTGACGATGATAAAGGAGAGGGGGGTATTGTTGACAACCAGTCAGAAAATTATGTACACGCCCCCGCTAAGGACGTCCGTAAGCAACGGGAGGAGGAAGCTTTGAAGCAGAAGCTAGCCGTTCATAAAGAAAAGCGTTCTCTCTACGACAAACTGGCTAGTAGCACACTTTACGAGCCCAGTGAAAAAGATATATCGGCAATGTCATGGGTTGAAAAGATTCGGGAGAAGGAAAGGATCAAGAAACAAGCGCAAGCTAGAGTAAGTTTTATCTCTGTATTTCCGACCGCTTTTCTGTTTTAGGCTAAGTTGCTGTCCGAAATGGATGAGCAGTTGGATGCCGAACTTCCACCCAAGGTCAGCCAGTACGAGTCGTCTGACCTTACTGGCCTAAAGGTAGAACACAAGATTGACAGCTTCCGTGAGGGCCAAACCGTCATACTGACACTGAAGGATAAAGGTGATTTCCTAATTTGCGTGAAAAGTTCTAACAGCTGGAAATGCACTTTTATGTACACGCTTTCTCATTTGTCGAACATTGGGTGAACTATGAACCGTCCAAACCCATCCCTTAAGTCGTTTACGATGAAAATCCACGGAGGAACGGAAGAACTTCTTGAAAGTATTCTTGTGGCTTGAGTGACAGTTTGTAGTCAGTTCACATTCAGCTGATGAGACGGAACAGCCACCAACCAGGCTGCTCCGGTTGATGAAGAAGGAGACGGGGAACGTTTATTCACTGCTGAATCATTCTTTAGCGAACTTGTTCTACAGTTTGGGACATCTTTCATCGTGCGTCAGTGGTAGCATTACTGAGGCATTTTACGTTTAGTTCCAGATCTGATTAGTAGACAAACCGGAAGCTAGTGTGGGAAGTCGGTGGAACTGGTTTCGTTTACATAATTTGTCGACCACTGACTCATCCAATTTCCCTTGGTACTGAAAGTTGTTGATAAAGTGATAATTGACAGATACGGTCTAGCTGTGAATCGATGGAAATATTAATCAGTTGTCAATAAACTTGGTGGCTGGTCTGATTTTCCTGTTTTCCTCTAGTTACTGAATCTTTGCTGCATCATTGTTCCAATAGTATAATTGTATTTCTTTGTAATTAACTGCTCATAAGGTTGCTGAAAATCCGTCGACAGCCCATGACCGGTTTCGCCCTTTTTGGGGCTTATCAGGTAGGTGCAGTTCCCGAGTTTCCGTCAACCTTATGTTCTACTTTGTTCTACGTTGGACCTCTCCAGGGTGGACTAAGCTCACTAGCTTGGAGTTTAAAGAAGCGTGTGCGCAGTTTTTGACATACGATCCACGTTTTCTGTGATTGGTGCTCTTGCATAAACTCTGAAAGTACCCGTAACCGGGGCATCGGCCTTTGTGTATTATTGGAGTTATCAATCTAACGCATCTACATGTAATGATAGATCTCAACTGGGCTAAGTTGTTAACTAGGTTTACGTGGCTGTTCACGTCTATTCACTGATCTAATCTCATCGAGTTTGCACGCAGTTTCGTACGTATTTATTAGGCTGCCCTGAGAAACGGCGTGACTCCATTTGTATAGCCCTATTTCTAGAGGTCACAGAACACATGGTGCTTGATTAAGGTTTTCAGCATATCTTGCAACTTTTGTACAACTGAAGATGGGATTTTGTCCTAGAAGCTACGCACCTTCATTCCTATTTTCTCTTGATTCATCCATTGGTTCGTCTGTACACTGTATCCCTTGAAATAAACTTATTGAATTGTTGGTACGTTGCTGCAGAGAAACCAAGCAATTGAAGGCATTTGACAATTAGACCATGAACAGTTTTGTTCACCATACGTAATGCTGAGTGTAAATTCGGTCCAATATCAATTTCAAGTATATTCTTAATGTTATGGACGGTAAATAGATCGTACAAACTAATGTGAGGCATCCTTTGAAGCACAAGCTATCAACCTTATCCTCAAACTAAATCCATCGACTCCGGTGCTGTTTAGCTGATGTACAAAACAAACGTCTGAAGAGGCTACTTTGGTCGGTCTCCAATGGGGTCGACTAATGTGCAGTTTGATCGAGCCTTGCCACTGGGTGGCTAGTTAAATTGGCTGAGTTGTTAGCTGTCGTTCTGTTCGCTGAGCTTGATGATAGGGACTATCCGTTGAGTTGCCAATATGCCCCCACAATCTCAACATAATTTATTCCCTTGTTCATTCGCCTTCGACGATGTACGCATTTTGCAGTCATTTCGAAATCATGATTTTGTAACCAACCTAGGATGCTTCCAGAGGCATGTCATGTTTAGGCAGACAAACTTCTAGTCACCCCATTTCTTTTCGATTTCTAGGTGTTCTGGAAGAAGAAGCGGACACAGATGTTTTGGTGAACGTCAATATAGTTGATGATGAGAAGGCCGATCGTAACCGCGAAAATGTGCGGAAAACCGCTGGTCTTGCTGGTATTGCTGACGAAGAGGATGAGGATGTGTTGTTGGGTCTGCGTCAAAAGAGCATTCTGAGCAAATATGATGCAGATATCTCCGGACAAAAGAACTCACAGTTCGTTCTAGGTTCAGAAGGTACTTACGTTCCACAGACCGAGCGGATGCTGGAGCAACTTAACGCGGAACTTCGGGCGGGAAAGGTATATGATTTTTCTTTCTAATTGTGTGAAAGATTATTGGTTAACTGGTAGGCACGCATATTTGGGAGTCTCTTATTTCAGGCACGGGCAGTCGCAATTAAAATCGCGAACGGATGGATCGATTGTTGGACTTGTTTCAGAGCATTCTAACGGGCCAGTATGGCTTCGCCATTTGATTTCGCATACCGTGCCTGCTAACTGATTCATCTCTGAGACCCTGCCTATTCAAGCTGCGCGTCCGAGGCTATATTCCCATTTTTTTATAAATTGGTTCCGAACATTTTGGTTTGACGTGCATAAAAGTTACTTGTTTCTCTAATTAGGGCACTAATTCGCCTAAGCACTCAGCGCATTGTACTGCGCGTCATCAACATGACGAATTCCCGTTTCATTCCGTCCCTTTGAAATACGTACACCTGCCAAAAACGACTCCGATTTTCAATTAATTCGGATTTGTAATGGAGGGTATCGTATCAAAAATTTGAATGGAGCACGATAAGTTTAAGGCTTCACCTGTGTTCCGTAACCAGTGGTATCAGCGGAATCTTTCAGCAAGAGGCATTCTATTCAGAAACGTGTTGAAAGCTATCCTAATGGGTACCTGTGCACCGAATAGGTCCCGAGTTCCCTCCATATTACTGCATTTTATCGACCTGTCGCAAGCTTCACTGTATCTGGGGCGCTGCCTTCAGATTGCGTATTTATTCTTGATTATAGTTTAACCTTTCCGTTTGTGGTCTAACGGCAAGAGGTTGCGAAATGCAACCAAAAGCGGCTAAACATCACCTACGTGCGAGTTTTTGTGTGCACGAACATTGGTCATTCGGTGCGCTGTTTGTTTTTCTATAGATACGCGGATTTTGGAGTTTTCTCTTTCCTGCACTTCATACAAGAACCCTTTTGCAGCCTCTTAATGAAAAAAGAAACAAAAATAATAAGTTTCAGTAGCCCATCCACCCATCGGAGTCACCGGCGTGTCCTGATTGGTTCGCTCAATGTTTGCAAACAGATTTGACGCTGCTTAATTATTTTGCGTTCTTAAAATTCACTAGCACGGTTCACGTATCCTCCATTGTTATTGTTGTTACCGGCCATTGGGATTAACAAAATCTTAGCCTTTCCTTTTTGGTCTTTCCATATTCTGTCTGTTTGCTAATCCAGAACACCTTACTAATCCGGGAACTGCGCCTAGATGATGACCCTCAAGAAGGGCGAACCCGGTCTTGAGCTGTCGAAGTTTTCAGCAACCTTATGAGAAGTCCCTTAATGAAAACCTTACTGAATAGTTTTCGGCCATTGGTATGTCCACCGAGCTCTGCAGTTTGGTTGCAAATTTTTCGTTACCACATATCCACAACGCACTGGTGATGTCATCTCGATTGTCCAGTGTCCAGTTTTTAGCACAAAACGACATCAAATATATATAACCTGAACAACAAACAGTTTCCCCAACAGACAACTAATCTTTCCACTTTTTTTAGAAATTGTAAATAATGAGCAAAGCACCGAAAGCCCACTAGCCTATTCCATGGTGCTTGAGGTTACTCAGATAGACAGAGTCCACGAATCACAATATGTTTTTCAGTGTTGTCTGTTATCTTTTCCTGTCGCTCCGTTATTTTATTTGTCTTCCGTCACTTCCCGCCTTCCTTAGCAATCACTTCCAGATACTGAATTGCGTGTTGCGTCGGAATACTTCACGCACGATGAATTGCAGGCCAAATTCAAAAAGCGGACCCGCCGCGTGAAGACTCGAGTGCGAAGTGCGTTGACTGCCGACGACTTGATTAGCTCTGATCAACAACTGGACCCTACAGGAACCTCTGACCTTGGCAAACGCTCTACCCGTCGTACAGATTCAGACAGTGTTGTCCACGAAGCTGAACAGCCAAGTTCCATTGATCTAATGGATACCCTATCGGCCACGACGTCCTATGGTGAGCGTACTATTGTATGTTAACAAGCAGTATGCAGGCAACAGTGTAGTAGCATGGTACTCCTTTGATACCCCCATCTCTGATAGCTTGTGATTGTCTGCTTAAAAATAACACATTATAACCATGGCTGGAATCCATGAGAAGACGCTCCCACATAAAGCAGAAACTTGTATTTAGTCCAAGATTGTTTTGAAATCTAGGGAGGGGATGCATAATGGTGGTTAGCGCTTGATTGTGTGGCCTCGAATTATGCTAATCGTGTTCATTTTGTTGCCGACAGCCTTACCTAATTACATTTGGTTAATGCCCGTTTTTGTACGGTTAATCAACATCGCTTACTATTCTCTAGGCTACTCCAATATATGACTACTCGATAACAGAAAGCAGGATTCCTGCATGAAAGGAGCCATGTTGATCACATTTTCACGCCCCATCAATTGAGAACGACTTGCGTACAAGCACCCTACAGTCTTGATGTTCCTTGACTTGGCAGCCATTCTGTCGGTCCGATTCTGTTGACCGATCAGTTCTTTTCAACACGCTTGCACAACAGGGCCACAGAACTTCGTGAATTTCATGCGTTGCTTGTATTCACTCACTTTTGTGCTTCTGAGAGTGTATGAGGAGCTCGTCAAATGCTTTCCTGCATGTTGTGTCCTAGACGGATGTCCACTCCCTCCATTTTGTCCCATTTCGTTATTGATGAGATAGTGAAGCGAACACTGGAAGGTCTACGAAACCCCGGTGTTCAGATCTCTCCAAGGGAGAACCTTATCAACATGGAGTATATAGATGGTATTGTCCTCATTTTGGAAACTGAGCAGGTAGCGCAAGTATCACTGGAACAGCTGACCAAGGTCATTCAGTCCGTACGACATATGCTTCGTGCCCACAAGCTGCAAATTCACGTTGCGCGATGTACATCCTTTGAGCATGCCTCTGAAAATTCAAGGAGTGACACTTCAGGTTGCGGGACACACGTAAATCGGAGGTTGCATTAGCTCTGACGGTAATGTGACAGACGGTGTGAACACACAAACCTCGAATGCCAGAATTTGCTCCACTTGTGGCGCCCAAAAGTACTTTCAGTGAGTCCAAATTGAAACGTCTGTCAGGCCATTCCTGGGGCTGTAATTATACGGCTGTGAGAATTCGCCACGTCAGACGGGGATCTAAGAGATTTTCAGGTCTCTGACCCCCGATATCTCAAAAGTGTTGTCCGAATTGACTCGGACCATCGAACGCGCAATTTGCTCGTGAGACGGGTTTTGTTAAAGCCCATATTATTTCTTTCAACTAATACATCCAGCATTACAAGCTTAGTTGGCCGGGCCATTCTGAATTACCGCCTGTCGGGATGAGCGCCGTTTTCCATACCCAATTCAGAGTAGCGGAAATCCCCAGGTGGACAGAATTTGGTATGGTAGAAGTGAATGAAGGATGTTGCGGAATGTTTGGGTGCTATTTGCCTTCCAGAATAGGATCCACATGGCTCTTCTTATGTTTGACTGAAGACAACCAAATGGCGGCTAATCGAGTCAGTAGTGGTCATGCTGACAGTTTCTATCCAGATTGTGTGACAGTTATGAGGATGCAGGCAAGTCGGTTGTTTGTGGTAAAAAATCTTTCAGCTATGGCACCCTTTCGTTGGTAACTGCCATGTCACCCGAAAGAAGCACAAGGGCTGAGATACTGTCAGGTTACCCAAGCCAGGACAGGATAAGTCGAGATGCAAAGGCTGGGTTCTAACCACGGATCTTACGGTCAGTAAATTCGCGCTCTAACCACTGAGCCATCTCGCTTCAATTTTTTTGGTAGGCTAGCCTTAGGCCCCTTTCCTGTCCCGTGTCTTTTCTCCATTTTAAAGCATTATTAAAATAAATTGACATGGTTGTGTTGCAGTGTAGCACCGGTGTTCTCATCTGGCGTTACCGCCACTGATGATGTTGGCCTCAGCAAGGTTTACTTTCATCGTCTCTTAAGGTGTTATCTCCGGAATCTTTTAACTTTAGTATAGTTCTGCACTTTGTTCTGGAAGTGAATCGGTAGGCAGCCAGTCTGAAAGCCCTCATGCGGGGATTCGAACTTTAGTGTTCTAAATGGCAGCCCGTAATTTTATTCACTTAGCTACTCTGGTTCATCTCGTCACTTGGGCTCAGTGATCACCACCATCATTTTTGGTTAGCCTATTAAACCTGACACTAAGTATGGCTGTGAAGTCGTCGACCACTGTCCATTGAAATATCCATCATGATCACATCAACAAGTTTCCATCAGTGCTGTGTTTCCTGTCTCTTTCGTAGATGACGCAGATGTTAACCAATTGGAATCTATCGGAGACCAGTTGATTGGAGAAGATGAGCTTCGTGGAGAGATTGAAAAAACCATTAGTCGCATAGCACAGGCCAAATCTAGCGTCTATGTGAAACCGGAAGAGGTAAGCTGAAAGCTCGAATTAGTCTTCTGCTTGATTGAAATCTGGAGTACCAAAAATTAGTTAAGAACCCAAACTGGTACTCGTCAGAACGGGCTCGGCTGTCCAGCTTATTAGCTATAAACACAAACCTATGTTCTGTGTGAGTTCTGAGACCCTGAAACGGCAACAAAAGACGAGGACGAACTCAGCTAGAGAGCAACAACACGACACCAGCAGCCGCGCGTAACGTTTTAGCAAGGTGGCACTTAAGGTACTGCTTCCTTGCGGATTTTCTTACCACAGGTTCACATAGGAATTGAGTTTTTCCTATTAAAGTTGTGACAGTCTGCCCCAACTTGGTCACTGTTCAAGCACCCAACACAGGGAACATGATATCTTGTTTTGTCTGAACTGCATTCGTGAAGAAACGTGTTGGGTGAGGTTATGTCCACGGTATATATGTGCACAAATCTGGAAAGGTTCGGACCAGATCTTATAAGACTTCAGGTTAGTGCCTTACCCTATTCTTCTGTGAAAATTTACTGTATACTTGCTTAATCGCTTGAAACTTGCATTCCCGTGCTAGTTGATCATAGGGAACGCCGTACCCATCATAAATGGAAGTGTCAGTTCTGGCGTTTTATTGTTATCTAAATCAGTTAGGGGACACATACGTCTTCCAGAGGTGTGCCTACGTGTGATTAGTTCCTACTATTTCGCATCGAATTATACATGTAGTCTCACTTGATTATATCCGCACACTAGCCTCCGGTTTACACATTACAGTGGTTTGTACGGATAGGGCTCCAGCTGATTCGCGAGTTTTCTGTATTGTTTGGCTGAATGTGTCTCTCCAACCAGATAGTTCGTTCCCTTTTTATGCGTTCAGTTGATGAATCAAATTTCCATGCCATGTATGCATTGTTCGAAATTATTGTGGTTTCAAATTCCTGTGACGCTGACTTAGTCAGCGCACTAAACAACTGGGCCAGGTGGAATTCTGATCAATCCTGAAAGAATTGATGTTATTCTATTCTACCAAAGCAAGTCAGCGTTTACAGTTGACATAATGACGTTGTTCCATTATTCAAGACTTGCCATTTGTTTTCGGAGGTGAATTGTCCACGGTTTTCTCAACAACACAGCCTATGCAGTCTTGTTAGTACTGAATACACGATCTATGTCATATGCAGTAGACCACCGGTACCACCAATCTGTGCTGTTTCCAATGCGAAAGTTGTATTCTTCTTCTCATTTCAAGGCTGCTTTCCTCTCATTGTTCTACGCATGGCCCTTGAATAAATGTGCGGAGAAACAGCCTATATCTGACAATTTCTCACTAATTCTAAACTATGTTTTCGCTTTGTGCAGGTGGCCGCACAACTGTTAACCCGTAAGCCGGGACCGACAGAATCTTTACCACAAGCCGGTAAGCCGGAAAGCCGTGGTGGTGTGGTATTTGACTCCACAGCCGAATTTTACAAGTCCATAGGAGCCGGTCTGCAGGAAGCAATAAGGCAAAACGCCCCGTTAACCCAAATAAAGGCTGAATATTCGGATGATGAGGCAGACATAAAGCAGCCACTTTCCCACGTTGATTGGGGTATGGGGAGAAAAGAAGACGACCACATGTCTATGAGTGACGAACACGACTCCGCCGATGAACAGAAGCCTAATTCGAGTAAGTTAATTTTATGCTGACAAGCTTTTTTGCTACTTGGAATAAATAGTTTTTACGAGGGTGAATTTTTTTCAGGTTTTTGAAAACTAGCCATCGGTATTTTCAGGTGCTTACTCGGATATGGTAGGATTTTGTAAGGAGACTAGGCCGAACTAGAGGACCTTGAAAGATTAATTCTTGGAGCCACCCTAGTGTGGATCATCTGGAGTCCAGAAGCCCACTGTGAAGATGACCAGTATGACATAGCAGTGACCAAAATTAAGACGAATCTGAATCCTTTCCGATTCGACTAATGGAAAAAGTATGCAGAACGTACCTTGTCATCCAAAACCCCATCTTATTTTCTTTACCGCATTCATGCGAACTTACTCCCGTGTTTGTTACCTTTCATTCCTCACCATCAATGAGTTCAACGAAGTTAGATGAGGTGTTTGATTATTCCAGTAATCATCCTTTGGAATTCTAACATCGCTACCGTCCATCTGTTCTACGGGTCTGAATTACACCCGTTAGAATATTCACCAACTGGTTGACATTTCATCTACTTGGTGCAATAAGTTTTTTGAGCTAGAACCACAACTAACGGTCGACAGTGCGATTTATAGTCAGTTTTTCTGTTGTTTGGCTTCTATCTGGGTCTTGTGGAGCACGTTTCTCGGGTCATCGTTAATGAGCTTACTATTAACCGAGTTCTGTACTGATGTTGATTTACCTAGTCACATGACCGTACACTGAAGATGTCTCCTCGGATGACGATAAGACGTTTTCAAATCAGTTAACAAGTTCGGCGTACATATCAACAATTTAGACGTAATACACTACCCATAAACTCATAGACGAGAGATTCAGCTGGTTTCCAGGTGAATCTTTCGAAAAACCACATTTCTTTGCAAATGAGTGTATTTCACTAGATGGACAGTTTATTCATCCGTTGAAAAGAAATTTCAACTCAAAATTTGTTGGATAGTCAGACAAAGCACCCTCAGACAGTACCGCTAACAACCTGCCACCTGTTATTCTTTTTACAAGCTGGGTCGTTGGCAATTTGGTTCCCCAACTCCGAGCTCCACTCTGAGCGTGTACCCACGTGCTGTCTCTCTCTCTCTCTCAAATGATATGTCCGCACCCTGGAACAGGTTTGGCTTTCGGTGGATTTTGTAGCGCTGAAAGCTAATACTGTTCATCAGTTGTGCTGTCGCCAATGGGAGTTCGATATTTGCAATCGTGGGAGACCTGTGCAAATGCTGTCAGTGGATTTACTTGACATTAAACCACTCTCAGCACGACCACATAGTGGTACTGTGCAGCCAATTTACCCGAGGATTTCCGACATCTCAAATGCACGTTCAAACTTGTCTTTTAGACTTTTCAAATGTCCTTACGTGGATTCACGCAAGAAGCCTTTCAGCCCACAAAAAGTAGCAAAGTATGGTGGCGATCACGAAAACCTTTTATTTTGAAACGACCGCAATTCAGTTCATTGTATATTACGAGAAAATTGTATACGGGAACTAATTTGGATTTCATGGCAGTTAGCTAATCCAAACATCTTTATAGGCCTGATAGGATGAAATTTCTGATACTACAGAACTTGTTTGGCTTTTTCTGGACTCAAGAAGTTGGTTACCTTTATACCTGTAATGGTTCGTTTAGCTTCTCCGAGCAGTGACACAGTTCACCAGTGTCTGATCCTGATTTTGTGTGTTGCCGCAACCTGGGCAGGAGGACCAACAAAATACAACCGACCGAAAGCACTGGTCACGTTTCTTCGCGATCGCTTTTGAAAAAAAATTACACTAGTACTGCAGCCTATAGTTACGAAAAGTACGCCGACATAGAAAACAGGTCGTAAAAAATGCGCTGTAGTCAATCGAGTGCCCTCTCATCCCTACCTGAGCTCCATTTGGGCGTGACACTGGTTTTCGTTTGATCACCCAATTGATGTGCCGAGCCTGAGCACAACACACCAGCAAGAGCGCATGAAATGAGAAGACAAACAGATCATTTGAGACCGGAAATGTGGGAAGAACTGATCTTCAGCATGGACAAAATCTTCAACGAGGTCAGCCCAGAAAATGTGCGCATTTCGAATCTTTACGTATACTATGGTGACCTTGCGACTCCATGGTCAGTCATTTTGAGGGATAAAAGGAAGTATTTACCAGTTCATACACTATGTGTGATCCACCTCAAAATCTTAGTTTGTTTGAGCTGCCGGCTCACGGTCCAGATTTTTTAATTCCCCGCTTTTTTAACATTTCGCACTGTCACAGTATTCTGCATGGTATTCGCATGTAGGTTCACTCTTATTCGGTAGTTAAGTGAGTTTGGTTCCAAACACCTCAAACTTAAACATCATGGACTGAGAAGTTCCATATGCTTTTAAACAACGGGTGACCTTGTGTGCACACTATATGACTAAGACTGAGGTGCCTACCTGGCATCCTGTCCATTCCATATTATACATAGCTAGGCTAGTGTTTATTTTTTCAGCAGCTTTGGGGTTTGGTTTCAGAATTTCCGCAGTGAAATCAGCTGGAGGCATTTTCCGTCGGAAGTCTGGTGGATCGACGATGTATCTTACATTTCCCTAGGGGGAAATAACACCGATCGGCCCTTGGTGTAAGAAATCTTCAAAGAAGCTTTGACCGCACGGATTTTTCTTTTGCGATCCAACCTCGAGCAAGCACTTGTTACCAAAGAGGAAACATTTTTTGCCTACAGATTGGTCGACTTAATCCCAAGGAGAGTACAACACGAAGAAAATAATTCAAACAGATAAACTTACTGTCTAGTTAAACTATTTATATCATCAGCGCTACTGAGAATATCTCACAACACCAGTGGGCTCTTCGGCTAGGAACACCGAACCATTCGTAGGGACGTGTCGCACTTGCAGTACTGATTCCGTGTGCAACCTGAAATGAAGCAGCGCTTGATAACTCAGTATTTACCAAGTTCTCGATAATATCCACTATTTTCGCCATTACAGTGGGACGGCGCGATTATGAATAGGTCCGCATGTTTTGGCGCCCACCAAAGGCCGACTGGTTGGGCCCTCTGAACTTCACTCATACTTAGCATTCAAAGCGCTTGTATCGCAAAGCACAGTCGCCCGCAAGACCTAATGGAAACCCACCAGTGAGAATAATTGTAACAAAGCAGGACGAGTGCTGTTTATGCAAGGGTGATGTGGACATCAGGCTCTAGGATTAAGGGACTAAATGGAATCGAACCAGTCGATAAACTCTTGTACCATTAAACCACGATGTAGATTTCTTCACTCGATTCCTACACTTCTTATGTTGTGCTATCCAACCAACCTCCCCCATCCTCCGAATTCGGTGCGGTTATCAAAAACTTATGAGACTTTTAGTCCTGCTAAGGCACACTAAGCTTTTTAAACATTTATTTTCCAGATCGGTGGCACACAGTTGGTGATGGACAGGTCCGCAGAACACGTCCAGCTGGTAGAACTGACGTTGAGACTGGTGGTGAGAGAACTTCCACCAGCACACAGCTTGGTGGTGTGCTAGATGATGAACCAAGTCTTGATTGTGGTGTGTTTTCGGCTCTGAAGCTTGCAGAAAAGAAGGGATATATTGAGAAAGGTCAAGAAAAGAGAGTAAGTGACCAGCATGTCCGTTTATTATTTTGGTTGTGCTATGGATAACTCACTCGGTTTTCAAACCTCTTTTTCGGTATTTGCAACAACGTTATTCGTCAGTGGGAATGTGATCTGTTACTTTGGGTAATTTCATGTGGCCGTGTGTTTGAGGAATCCGCTGGACGCATGCGAAACTCTTCAATTCCACCACGGGTCCAGATAGCTCCATTGTGGTAGTTGAGTAATTTGGCATTATTCAATCAGAATGTATCCATGTTTTGGCACTCATATCCACTAACCATCTTCCTGTTGTTTTCATGAAGACTGGTACTGGAACAATGGTCAATCTGATGGCTAAGCATTTCGTTCAGGAAGACGTTCGCTACGACGACATCGACGCGAAGTTCGCTAAGCGTGATCGTTACAGCGGACCATTGACGGAATTTAAAGAGATAAAAAACTACAAGCCGGACGTAAAACTCGAGTACGTGGATGAATTGGGACGGCAGCTGAATTCAAAGGAAGCTTTCCGTCAGTTAAGCCACAAATTCCATGGCAAGGGCTCGGGAAAGAACAAAACAGAGAAGAGAATGAAGAAGATCAAGGAAGAGTTTGTGAGTCCAGGCTATATTTTCTGATATGATTCCAACCTGTCTGATGTACTTTTCAGGCGTGAATTTACCTGGTAAACCGTGTTGACCCCACTGCTACCTTCGGTTTTTTTTATATTTTCCCCAGTATTCACTGGCTGACTAAACTGCACACAATTACCCACGGTATCACAACCAAGAAGACATCTGAGTAAACTCATTCGGCGGTATTTCTATTCGCATGACTGTTGTTCTATTGTTGGTCCATATAGCAGCGAAACATCGTAATTTTACCGCCATGCTCCACTGACGTCTTTTAGATAGTACCGCATACTACCACCTACTTTGAGGCCCACTTAAAGCTTTCTTGAGTTGTAGTGTTGTCTGAGAGCCATCAACCGCGCGCCAGTGAATAGTCTTCAGTCAGATGAAAATAAGTGGTGTGAGGCTGGGTACAGATATAGGGCTGAGTTTATCGTGTACTCGCTCACGGCAAACGATCGGTAAAGTCTTACCAAACACCAAACTCGAATTTCATGAGTTTTGGACAGGTTAGTATTCGTCACGGTGACCGAGCTTTTGCGAATTAAAAACCCCTCATCCAGTGTGAGATGAAAATCTTGTTTCTTCTTTGGCTGTTGTGAAGAAAACAGACAAAACCATATTATTCTTGGTGTGATTGGTCAGCAGCCGTCTATCGTTTGATTTAAGGCCGTCCCCATGATTTTCTCTTCGTTTCAGCTGCTCAAGGCGAGCACAAGCTCGGACACACCGCTGGGCACTGCAGAGAAATTGAACAAAAAGCTACAGTCCATGGCCTTGCCCTATGTGATATTGAGTGGGAAGAACGCTGCTGTGTAAGTTTGCTGCCATCCATTACGGTACTGTGATTTTTCACACTAAGATCCTTAGTTGATGGATTTTGGCGGAACACCCTGTTCTACCTATTACTCTATATTAATACACTATGAACCGAGGTAGTGGCATGACATCATTGGGTCACTTGCGTACATCCCTTATATAGCGATCAGGCTTGTCAAACACTCGCGATTTTCATGACTTCGGGTGCTAAGACAACCACAACCCTCAATAGCGTGACCCGTACTAACGAGCTGGATACTTCGTCATCTTATCTACTCAGTGGCGCCGACTAACCATCGATTTCCATGGAGAATTCGATTATTCCTAGGACGTTGGCCTGAAATTGAACAGGTTCTCAAAAAGTTTAATCAAACGAAACATTCCATCTTCATTTGGCCCCACCAACCAAATGGAATTGAACCGATTAGGTGGATACTCATCGATTAGCGGGTATGGCCACATTGTTGTCCAAAGGACCGCACGACCCTTGGCTGCACCTGTTAAACTGGCAGATATAGTTTATGAGATGGCTCAAGGGTTAGAGCGCATTGTTGTCCAAAGGACCGCACGACCCTTGGCTGCACCTGTTAAACTGGCAGATATAGTTTATGAGATGGCTCAAGTGGTTAGAGCGCGAATTTCCTAACCAGAAGGTCCGCGGTTCGAATCCGACCTCCGTCTCTCGACTTCCCCTGTCTAGGCTTGGGCAACCTGGCAGTATCCCAGCCCTCGTGCTTCCTTCGGGTGGCATGGCAGCTATGCACCAAAAGGGTGCTACAGCTGAACGCAGCATTTCAACCAATTGTTGAAATGTCCATCCAAAGTGACTTCGCGCATAGTCAGGTTGATAACTGGATCACCTCGTGGCTATAGACTACATGCTATTCGTCCTTCCAGATTACTGCTTCTCATATGCAACCGAAAACTTTCTACATTTTCAAGTCATAATGCAGTGTCTAAAGACAATCTGTGAGCTGTCCTTTTTTGTTTACTGGCGTGCAGCTGTTTGACTATAATACGTATACGGTTGTCTTTTTCCGGATAAAACTGGTGCCCTTTGTTGAAAGGGCATTCATGTGATGATCAAAGGTTGCTTTATGTGGGCATTTCCTCAGATCGGAAGTTTTGCAGCGTAGAATCAACTAACTTACAAGTAAAAGATGACTTCACAGATAAGATTTTATATTTTATGTCGTGGTATTTCTTGAGAAGTTTACTATATGACAATTTGAGATGTGCAAACTCTTGATCAGCCTCATGCAGCATAACTTTTGAAACTCTCATAATACGGCTCATAAGTGGACTAATTCGCGTCTAATTCTTCCATTTCCCAATCTCTTTCAGCAAAAACCTCACGAAATGATCTACGGCACTCGATAGCAGTTTTGAACATCTCTTTGTATATATGCACAGGCAGTGACGCAAGCTGCGATCTTTTTGTTCTCGTCTGACCCAACAAGTTTAACCAAAAAGCACCCTGCCTTTTGCTTTGGTCTAGTCATGCAGTGTGGTCAAATCTGGATAGCTTGGATCTGCTCTGACCGATTACTGCTAGTTTCTCCGCTGTTCCAAAACAATGATGTAGACTCCTTCAATCAGAAAATTCCGATAATCCTGCATCATTGGAACTCAGTCTTAGCATACCTTTTGCATTTTTCTTGAATTTCAACCGTCAAAACAGCAGTTCTAGTATGGGGCATCCATAGGTTCGATGCATGCGATTGATTGCACATGTAGTTACAGTAATCGGTAGTCCCACTTATCTTGTGATTCAGATAGCTTAGATTGCTCAAACTGTCGTTCCGAATATGCTGCAGATTGGCGCCTGAACAGCGCTCGTCTGTTAGAAACAAACGGACAGACGACCAGATTCGTAACGAAATGGCATCCGTGGTAAAATACAGAGATAGAGGTGATAGTCTGTTATATTCTGCGGTATCTGTCCTGCTTCAGTGCTGTTCTCCGAGATTTATGAGCGAACGTGCTGGTTATTGAAGGGTCGATCGGTTAACAGAACAGTAATTCGCGCTCTTCTCACCGTCCTTCCAACTCCACCTAAGTAGATAAGTCCGTCGAATTGTCCGGAGTCAAGGCCACTCGTCTAAGTTACGATCGACAGTAACTATAAGATCCGGGCACCAAAGGATTGAGCTCTCCGACTAAACGCAGTTCATTGGTAGTAGGAACAGACGGATAAGGGCAGTAGATGCTATGTTGAGAACTGGTTCTATGAAGAAATGGATTGATAAAAATCAATGATTAAGAAGGACGTACAGTTAATAATAGCACAATTGGTAGGAGCAGAAAAAGGGCAGTGTGGAAGCAAGGTTTTCTGGGAGTAATAGCGAGCAATTACTAAACATGGATATAGGTAGCGTAAATAGACCGTATGCAGAGATAACGGCGCAAGAGACAGTCAGCAGAGTTGGGACGAAATTGCGAGCAAACTTGGATAGGCGACAAAATCTAGACAATAACCACAGCGTAAGCAAACCTTATGCGAGAGCGATAAACCCCGGGGAAGCAAAATTGCGTTATGGTAAGCACGCGCAACTCATACTACTTATAATGGTGAAGAGAAATAGGGCTGCTGGCCGCCGTTGATTCACGAAGTAACCTACACTAACTTTATCAAGAGGTATGGGTGTCACAGGCGAGGTTCTGGCTCACGTGTCATTGAGAAAACAAGGAGAGTCCTTTTGATTTTGACCGAACGTAAAGGCACTAACAAGTAGAGAATCACTCCTGGCGTTGAGGGTGTTTCAGGCTTGGGGCTATCGGGTTTAGGTTTATTCACGTGTCCTGATTGTTTTTGGACACTCATTGAAAGTTGTGCTTTTGGCATACAGTTCCGCCGGTAGGTTAGCGACTGCATCAGTCGGTGTATTCGATTATCTCATATTAACGATAAGGTGTAGGATGATCCCATTCCAAGAGCGATTACTTTATATTTGGCGCGATCAGTTCAGGTCTGATGCTAGCTCTTCTAATGTTGGAGCTAGCATGAATCCCACGTGTTTATGCTAAGAAAATTGTGGATAGGCGTAATAGTTTTAAGAACTATCCCCGATCTTTCACGTAGCGATGGATACCTCTTAAGAAAAAAACGTGCTCGGTTAAAGAAACTATCCGACACTCCGTGACCCACAGAGTTTACGAGTGAGTTTATTTGTGAAACTCAAAGAGCAACTAAAACCAGGTTAACCAACGGGTGAAGGTCTGACAAAAAGTCACCTGGACCTCCACACTGTGGTTTGGAACTGCGTAGCAGCTTCCTAAAAATGTAGGACAGTTTTACGCCAGCCACCGGAATCGTTCAGCTAAAGCACACTCCCGGTGCCTAACTGCCAGGTTACCTAACCCTAGACAGGGGTATTCGAGTGGCAGAGGTCGGGTTCGAACCAAGGACCTTTCGGCGCCAAAAAGTAGTTCCAGTGGGTTTCCATAAACGCGTCTATCAGATCACACTAGGGACTGTAATTGTACGGCTGTGAGTATTTGCCACGTCAGACGGGGAGCTAAGAAATTTTCAGGTCTCTGACCCCCGATATCTCAGAACTATGGTTGGAATTGACTCGCACCATCTAATTCACAATTCGCTCGGGAAAGGGTTTCTTGTTGAAACCAGTGTTATTTCTTTCAAAGAATGCATCTGGCATTACATACTAAGTTGGTTGGGCCATGCGTTCCCCATGCCGAATTACCGTCTGTCGAAATGAGCGCTGTTTTCCATGCCCAATCCGGAGTGGCGGAAATCTCCAGGTGGACAGAATGCGGTAAGGTAGATGTGAATGAAATATGTCATCTTCAATTATAATACAATTTTTGACTGTTGCTTCAAATGAATGACGTTAGAGTTATCTGTAGTTGATTGATCGTTGATTAATCTCAATCGATACTCAACTTCATCTCAGTACAACGGATGTCGTGGTCAATGACTAATAGGCTCATCTCAGAATCACTACTAAAGTAGTTGCCACCCAGGTATTTGCTTTTTTATTTGGTCCCAGGGTCACATTGCTGATATTTTGCAACGGAAGTTGCGTTCGCTTTTCAGCAACTATACTAAGCAGACCTCAGTCGTCCAATGATAAAAAGAGATATCTGAAATCTCTCTTATATTAAAAGCCTACTTACATGCATTGTTATCACAACTTGCCTCACCTGTCTTCGTGGCGTAATAGGATTTGGCTGATTGACTAAATCAGAATCACTAGAACAACAACTAAGACTTGGGAGGTTACGCAGTGTTTTGGACAAGTATTCTGCATGCTCAACCATCTACCCAACTGTTGTTCGATAAAGATTCGTCGGGCAGGCAAGCATCGCAACGTAACTTGAAAGTGGCCACGATCTAGTCTTCGAACATTCGTGGCTAAGGCCATGTGATCAGCCTTGTATAGGGCTCGACACTCCACAGGATGTGGAACTTAATTGACCTTAATGACAGGCGTGCAGTCATGACCTTACCATGTCTGGCTGGTGTTCCGAACTGCGCTGGAGCTGTGGCGGCAATGATGCTGTTACCTTACCATGTCTGGCTGGTGTTCCGAACTGCGCTGGAGCTGTGGCGGCAAATGATGCTGTTGATGGCACCTTACTGATATTATTCTCAGATGCGGTCAGTTCATTGCTGTTCGAAAGTGTAAACACGCTTCTCTTGGTAATTTTACCCAAGAGCTCATTTAACTAAGCCCCCCTTCTTTCCATATTATCAAGACGCTTTTTCATTGGTGTGCAGCTGTTAAGAGCCCTTTTATACTCCTGGTGAATTGCTTCTCGGTTCGTGATTCAGCCTCCACCAAGAAACAAGATAGCGCTTGATAAAGCCAATCGGGCGACTTGAAAGTAACCTTTGATGACCAAGTATAACGCCATTCGATTTTGATGGAATATGAAACGGTTGAAAAAGCTCGTTTTTGGACTGCCTCATCATAATCCAACAAAACTAAACACTTCTCATGACGTCATTTGCCTTCAGTCAGTGCTTATATTCGGAAGGTGGTCAACAATCCAATTAATATACAAACCACTGGAATTGAAAATGTAGAACTCAAGTTCGGTATCGTCTGCTGCAGTCTACAGATACGTTCAAAACACTCATAATTGGTTCCTTGATTGGATGTGAGCACTTTATAGACCAACAGTGCATTCGTTAGCGCCCAACTTATGATATCCAAAATTGCCATTCGGTTCTTCAAACATGATTTTCAGCTGCATTTTCTACAAATCATGACTTTCGTGGGTAAAGGTAGGCAAAATCATACAGATATTCAGAGATAGAAAATGAAACATATCTAACGAGCGAACGTTTGCTGTAGGAGGATATACCCCTTGGGGTTCATTGTACTTCAAAATATCGCCAAAGAAAATATGAGAACAATAGAGAAGAAACCAATTAGACAAAGGTTTCCCTGGCAAGTTAGGAAAGACGTCAAAGGTTAGAGTGATTATGGTATCACAGGTGAGAATCCAGTTCACTGCTTAAACGAGCAGGTATGTCATCCACGCGTGGTAGGATTTTTCGTCACTGGGACGAGTCTTCACTAGCTTTTCTTCTCAATGATTCAATCAAATCGTCAACCTTAAAAAGCCGTTACATATAGTTGGGCGACATACCGGAACGAAGATGCCCATTCGAGGATTAAACATGATTTCATGCACTGAATAACGAAGTGGACCGATCACATGCAAGTGCAAGTGATGGACACTGTTGAAAGGAGGGCGGTGAAAGCCTAGGCTGAAAAGATGAGTTGTCAAAAGACTGAAGGACGTACCGAAAGTGTGATATATCCGACTTGTGGTTCTCCAGAAGAAATTCGACAGCACAACTTTTCATCTCTTCCACTGTTTGGTACACAGAAAAAGATAATGCACGTGAGGTAGCTTACATAGCGGTAAGTCCAGCTTGGTTAGATGACTAATGTTTCTGATATGCTTCCTTGAAATGCATTGGTAGTGGTAACTGGACTTGGGATATTTATCATTAAAGAGCACCACGAGTTCCCTCTGGCGTCATTCGCTTGTGGGAAACCGGAAGCAAACCTCCATCCGAATGGTATTTGAACTATCCGTTCCGTTTGCGATTTTACAAAAGACGCACGAAGTATCACGTCCTTGTACACTCATTTTATCTGGAGAAACGGACTAGCTGGTATCGCACTTGATCCGTTTTCACACGTAGAAAACGGAGTTTAATGTTTTCAAGCCACAATAGGTTTCTGTAGCAGAAAAATGGGTGAAGACAATTCCAAAACCTCACAAAACTGGGACGTACAGTAAAACTGTGGAACGGTTTAGCAAAATTTTGTTGTTGATCTGTATCTCGGCAACGGAAACGAGAAGTACTAAGCGCTCTGACAAACACAAGAGTATAGTCCAAACGGAAATCCGATCTTTTCTCGATATCCTAATGGTATGCACGTAAGTTCTCTACGCCTTAACACCCGCTCTCCAGTGCCACTTGAATATCAATTATTAGGCTCCTGAAATAGCTTTCCGCTAATTAGCGAATATACACTCATTTGCAAACTAATTTGGTTCTTTCGAGAGACTCACCTGGAACCCAGCTGAATCTATCGTTTATGATGTTCTCAGGGGACTGCGCCTACCTGATGAGCCCCAAGAAGAGCGAAACCGGTCGTGGGCTGTCGATGGATTTTCAGCACCCTTATGAGTAGTACATTACAAAGCTTTCCGCTAACTTTGTAGCATTCGAACAATCCCGCTTAAAGGTAGACACCTTTTGTTTGGTGTACGTAAGGACTCAGGTTGGATGTATGTCCACAATTAGCACAACCACATATTCGCTATCATGCTCCGGTGACTCGGCTGCTTTGAGTCATTTGAACTCGCTTGAGTTGAGCTAGGCATACAAAGATTGCCAATCCAGGTCAGGTACGATCTATTAGCATACCTTGAAAACGCTATCAAAATCATCCAAGTGAACCACGACAGAGGCAGTTTGTGTTGCTACTGACTGAATCACTGAGGCAGATCGATACAAGTTTTACGCGCCAGAAACCGATATCGATCGGAGATCCTGGTTACATCCGATTGAGTTCCTCATCGACTGCATAAAATGCAGCGTTCAGCTGTAGCACCCTTCCGGTGCCTAGATACGATCCCATTTGAAGGAAGCACGAGGGCTGGGATACTGCCAGACTGTCCAAGCCTAGACAGGGGAAGTCGAGTGGCGGAAGTCGGATTCGAACCACGGACCTTCCGGTCAGCAAATTCGCCCTCTAACTACTTAGGCCATCGCGCCCCCTAAATGTAGCAGTCTAATCACGACGAAGTATCCAATTCAGGTGATAAAATGTCCTGAATTAGTCTCCGTTACTCATCAGAGTGGGTGGACTGTAGAATGATGGCATGGAAAACCTACATCCTCGACAGCATGACATCAGTGTTCAACACCGATGCTACATTGCAGTATGAAAAACCTGAATGTTTGGATCACGGCGCCAAATCACACCACCAAAGGACAGTGGGTATCATCAATACTGCCGTAAATTTGGGAGACTGAATGTGTTTCTAAATCATATCATTTTTCAGCTGTAGCACGCTTTCGGTGCCTAACTGCCACGCCACCCGAAGGAAGCATGAGGGCTGGGATACTGCCAGGTTGCCCAAGCCTAGACGGGGCAAGTCGAGATGCAGAAGTTGGGCTCGAACCATCGACCTCTAAGACAGTAAATTCGCGCTATGACCACTGAGCCATTTCTAAATAAATAATGATGAAGTGCAATTCAAGATACAGTGTGGAATAAAAATGGTCTAGCTCAGCTAAGCGGTTCCTTTGAAAATATGAAAAATTTACTTCAACTTCTAATCAACACATATGTCACGAAATGGGAATTCTTTGAAGGAGCTAGTACCGTCTGGCGAATTTGTGCAAGCATCTGCATTTAACTGCGAGAAGTACGCCTTGAGACCCCTGTTGAAACTTACCTAGGTAACAGAGCATGAGGTTACAAAAGCCATATATGTATTGCACTAACTTCTTACTGAAAAGTAGGTCTTATTGCCCTTTCAATTGATGCATGCGACCGATCCCCGGAAACCACCTGTGAGCGAAACCATCAAGGATAGAAATGGAGTAGACATCTCGACCGACGGGCCGAATAATTCGAACAACAACCGTCATAGCCATCTGGAGATCACATGTGAGGTAGAACCCTGGGCGGAGAACGTGGAACCGTGGCTTCAGAGGTTTGTGACTTCACATGTTCTCTTAAGCGCCACCGAGCCTCTGGTTCGAATGGCTTCCCACCCGCATTGTTCAAAGATGGAGGTGAAGCCCTGACTCAGCGTTTGTCTGATCTGTTTGCTTGCATTTGGGAAAAGAAGTGTCTTAGACAACTGGGGCTCATCGGCGATAGTACCCATTTTCGAAAAAGGGACTCGTACTGAGGGTGGCAACCGCAGGGTTCAGCTGGACCCCGGTCGTAACGAGACTGTTGGCGTTACTGGTGCTTCGTCGACTTACATTGGCTCGTGAAGCGGAAGCACGAGGGCTGGGATACTGCCAGGTTGCCCAAGCCTAGACAGGGGAAGTCGAGTGGCGGAGGTCGGATTCGAACCGCGGACCTTCAGGTTAGTAATCCGCGCTCTAACCACTTCAGCCTGATATGGGTTGCGTTGACCAAATGTTTACACTTCGTCATGTACTAGAGCAACGCCATACGTATAAACAACTCACAGTTCTAGTGCTCCTGGATTTTCAAGGCGTATTTGACTCGATTGACCGGTCTGTTCTGTCTGATACGCTTACCCACCAAGTAATGCTGCGGAAGTTTGTGAATATAATACGTTCTTTGTATTCTCAGACTCCCGGACGTGTGAGAGTACACGGCGAGCTCTCCAAAAGCTTCCGTACACAAAGCGGTGTCCGTCATGGATTCCCACTTTGTGCATTCCTGTTTAACTTTGTGATCGATGAAATAATGAGACGCACGCTGGAGGGTCTCCAAAACCCTGGTGTTCAAATAGCCTGTGAAGAAAACCTTGCCGATCTGGAGTATGCAGACGACATCGTTCTGATCTTCGAAAAGGAGACGAAGGCGCAATGAACTGACTGAATTCACCCCGTCCTTTGCCATGCAGTCTGCACTCACAAAATATGAGGCCATGCTCGTGGACATGCAGTCACTGAACACGCCACTTACAATCCAGGGAGAGGTACTGGAAATTGTGGAGCGTTTTATGTATCTTGGAAATAGTATTAGTTCCGATTGTAATGTGACAAATGAGGTGAGTGCACGAATTTGCAACGCTCGCGCCGCATTTGCTAATTTGAGACACCCATGGCGTCAGAGTGGTTTATCCCCGAATCTCAAGAGACGTGTGTATCAAGCTACAGTACGGGCTGTTTTGCTGTATGAATGTGAGGCTTGACCTATTCGAGCAGCGGAACTGAGAAATCCTCAGGTGTTCGACAATCGTCGTCTCAGAACCATAGCTCGTGTGGGTTGGTGTCGGCGGAACCATAATGAGGCAGTTGGAAAGCGCGTTTTCGGTTGTGCAAAGGGTACTTCTATTGAAGAATGTGTCCAGCACCAGAATCTTCGTTGCTTCGGACATATGTTGCGCATGCCTAACCATCATTTGCCGAAGAGATAGCTGCTTTCCACGCCCAAATCAAAGTGGCGGAAGCAGAGAAGTGGCTAATCCTTTGCTTGGCAGAGGGGTATGAAAAAAATCACGAAACGTTTGGGTGCTGTCGGTGCTACTCGTCTTCCAGGATGGGGACCGCGTGATCCTCACCGCGCCTGGCTAGAGATGCTGCAATACAGGGCTGTCAACCGGTGTCAGTGGCGTTCTTGTAGCCAGTTTCTACTCCGACTGCCTGAATGAGTGTTTGGGGGTGTAGGCACCTAGGAATGATTGTAGTAAGCCAGCACTATGTCCTTTCCCCGTCCACCTTTATTCTTTGCTTCACAATAGGGCTTTTCAAATAAATCACGGTTGTACGGCAGCGAGGCATCGGTGCGGAACACTGATGTCATCCTGTCGATGATGATGATGATTGCGGCAGGTTTCGAGACATCTATATATGGCATCGAAAGACGACTCGATTAGCCTCCACATCTAGCGAATTATAAGTCCACTATATTGGCAGACTGCTTGGTTTGCTGACCGGGATGAATTCGAATTCTTTCCAAAGTATGCACGAACATTATTCCCCACAAAGCCTATTTGGGAAGTGCGTTTTCCCGTACACCGGGCTGTTGTCATTGTCCATTGCAAATAAATATAGCACCTAATATATCCCCGCAGGTTTTCATTTTTGGTGTCGATTGAAAGCCTCAAGGCTACCAAAATAACAGGCCGCATTTGATGAAAAATATTTGCAGGTTACGCAGACATCTCATAAGCGATCGTGTATGACATTAATAATACAGAGATGTACTTGCATCTCTTGTTAAAACCAATGTACTCCTTCAGTTCCGTTCAGTAGGACATCAAGTTGATGGAAACTCGAGAACAAGGACAACCTGGCAAGCCGACGGAACGACGAGGCCGATTGTAGGTCGTCGAATGGTTTTTAGTGACTTACTGAGTAATGTGCTCTGCCACGAAGAAATACTGAATTTTTTCCCCAGGTCACTTTATGAAGATTGCTCACACCCAACAAACTAAAACCCGGGCCCAAACTTTACCGATGGAGAGGAACTCATCCAACAAAGGCTCGCGAAAAAGCGAGCCCAAAGTACAAAGGCGTCGTAGAAATAAAGGTGCATTTTGACCGCCAGTCAAGGATCTTCCGTTTTGCCGGGTAGTCGATTCATGCTCAAGGTAAGCCCGAACATATGATTGGTCCAAATAAGGCATCAGTATTCGCACAATGGAATTGAGTTTCTCAAAATTACGACGTGACCCTAGTGGACATAAAGCGACAGGCAATTGAGTGCAGAGTACGAGTCCAAACTTTTGAGCTCCATCTAGGCGTCCGTGGGTCTTTTCAATGTTAGGAAAGGATTGCACCAGACTTTTTCCGCCAGATGTATGTTTGGCTTTGCAGATAATGAAATTCGGTGAGCTGCAAAATTTGGAATGCAGATTAGAAGGATTTTGAGGGTGAGCACGAACGCAAAAAATACAACATTCGGGCACAAAATTTTTATTCCACTCGCCAAGGTATTGCAAATAAGAGCGTTGTGCGGTCACTGGGCCTCGCCCAAACAGGCCCGGCTGCTTAGCAGAGGCATCCACCAACGGTATTCGGAGACTAGAAGCGTAATGGGGCAGGCTTATGTGTTGCAATCGGCGAAGTTGTTGTTCAACTGCTTGCTCTGTCGTTCAATTTCTTTTCGACCTTCTCAATTTGTATTTTTCTTTATAGAAAACTCAAATTCTTTGACAGTCATCATCGGCATGATACACTATCATCTCGAGATAGCTGAAAACACATATGCTGATTTCCTGCCTAGCTTATACTGGAGGAAGTGGCGTGGAGCAGTCATGAAAATTTCACATGAAGGAGGAGAATATCGGGGAAGAGCATTTTAAAGTAACCGTGCATGTTTTGTAATGTTCGGTTAGCACATCCACCTAATAAATAAACATACCCCACGAGGATATCATCTAAACTTATTTGGATTCTTTCTCACATGCTTCAAACATCCATGTTTTTCTTAACTTTACGAGCATCAGGCATTAAAATCGTTCTTCACTTAGGCTGCTCGTTAGCCGGCAAATACTCGTTTCTTCGAAGCCTTAGCCTATGTAATATAATTTTTCACAGAAAACCGTAATACTTTGCGGTATGCATGCCTTCATCAACATCACCGTAATCTGTCTTGGTTTTGTATGAATTTATTTTAATTACCATTATCTCCTTCCCTGAGGTTTCAGCTTTAGCTTCTCAGTGCTGTGATTTTGGATGTGGCCTAAGATAAATTGGCTACTGTCTGGTTCTTATCTTTCACCGCACTCAAGAACTCGTCAAATGAACACATGAAGGACAACTATGCAGTGCTAGTGCGTTCAGCATGTAATCGAAGCAACAACACTATTTTGCGTCACGGGTGGGTACGCCACAAATGCAACCGGCGGCCAGCAGAACCAACGGAAATTCGAATGATCCGAAGAAGCTTGCAGGTTGAGCCCGTTTTCAAGTTACAGGCAGCAAATTCAGCACTGGCTGCCCAGTCAAACGGACGCATTAACATCATAATACCTGGAACGCAATCATAAGCTTTCCATGTTTTTGTACGATCAACTTCTAGTGAATCGATGGCTTACGGAAGAGGATTAGGGCACCTGCCGGATAAGAGAAGACGACGATTTCATGTGATCTATGCAATGTCCATCAGCTCCAAACTGTTCATTTGTTATTGAGACCTCACGGGTTTGGCATAAGTCTACTTTGTCTTGAGACCTTGACGTCAGCAAGTACCAAGCCACAGGAACTCACGCTATGCGAAGATGGCATCGTGTGAACAAGCTTCTACGAGATCATCACGCTGGATTTACAGGGTATTTAGTGCCCGAGGTTTGTCATCTGCATACTTCATATTGATATTTCGACAACCGTGGATCCGTACACCGGAATGGAAGATGACGCTTCATGCCCCATTCCGGTAGACATTCCCTACCACATACTGAACTTGATACTGTAATTTCTGCCATGGGTTCAGACTTATTTCAACAACCATTCACACATCTACCACCAGCCCCGAATACTCTTCCAGGTGCTCCAGACACAACTCCAGTGAACCCTGCTTCATGTTATCATACCTCTGCATACCCAATTCCCCTAGTTCCAGACTCCAGCTTGAGCAAAATGTAGTGAGCAAATCAGTGTAAAGGGCTGGTCCCAAATCGTACGTAGCTCCACTCGTAACTTACATACCAGGGACCTAAGGTTTTAAAACGATGGCAATCTGGCTACAGACGCATTTGGTCAACGCTTCCTAGGAAATGATCACTGCTTCATTCCTTGCGACGCAGTTATCTACGGCCTAACTGCCCTTCTGAAACCTTCCTTGCTTCACTTCCCTCTGTCAAAATTTCACAGGCTTTTTCATCAGTGCTGGCTGCCCGGGACTGGGACGACTTCTATCTCCCCAATAACACACAAAGTGTCTGTGGCATGCACCAAAACTTATTGAGAGCTCTTTGCCTAATTTCTCCTACAAAAAGTTTCCGCACAAGTATCTACAGCCATGCTAAGCTACTAAAACCTTAGACAGGGAAGTACACCTGGTTAGCAGAGGATGTCGGGAACCCCACTATTTCCCGTAATAACCTCTCACTGGTAGGCTCTCAAATGATCGAAATTGCTTTTAGGTATCTCTTGAGCGCCGAGAGGAGATTACCATCCTCAGCACCCCACATTAACCCAAATAATTCAGGTGACTTTTCCGTGGGCGTTGTATGCCCACTAAATCGCCTGTTTGTGCACCACCAAAGGTTGCCCTATCACCGATTTTGTCAACATAGCATACGATCTGAATGCCTACTTCACTTACTGCTACTCGCCACTTCCCCCAATCATTAAACACATACCCCTGCAACGTATTTCAAAACTCCTAATACCCAGGGTAGCCATCCGCCTCTCAGCAACATAAACCAGGCTGGTGGTTGTATCCTTCTTCTAATCGTTAAGACCTCCATTGCGCCGGGGGCCGGTAATCATCTAACTTGAGTTCTGATTCTGTAGGCTACAGATACCAGTAGCGGGACACTCGTTGGTCTCCCGTTTCTGCATCCCCCGAACCACATAGTTGTTTGCACGTTTTTTCGACAACGACTCAAACTTAAATGGTGCATTTTAGTTTTTTCGAGCGAGGACCAATATAGCGTGGCAGATTGCTGGTTAACAGAGTCTCTGTGTCTTTAAAAGCTTGAGCTCTGTGTTTGAGGAATAACTGCGACCTAGCCTCCAGAAGACACCGAATTCTTTCAGGTAGGTTTCTGTCTGTTCGACAGTGCTTTGATTTCTTTGAGAGAAACATCGCATCAGCCCAGCGAATTGTCTGGATGATGTTTCTTTATGTATCCTCCATCGAAGCTGGTCGCAGTTCAAGTTCGTGAATAATGACCCGCATTCCTGACACGTTTGCGC